AGATTGTGTACAGCTCATGAACTTGCTACAGGACAGAATGGATTTCTTAAACGATGGGCCTCTTAAAAGATTTAGTGAACATAAGTTTCATCAAATAGAATACTCCACTCAGTTAGTCTGGAAGGTTCCAGTATGCTGCTGCACCACTGATTAGCGCTGAAGTTGGCACTCTTTAGATTCAGAAAAGAAAAGGCACCACATAATATTGGTGGACAGGGGAAAGCTTTGCAATTGCACCCACAAGTGTCAAGCACCAACTAAATAGCCACTCCTAATAAATCCCTTCCATGACAGTACGACGCTCACTCTCGGTTCGACACATAATATTATTCCCCCGCATTAGCTAAAATGGCGAAAACCGAATGCGATAATCCTAGTGTTCTCTTGTGGTGGTGGTGGTGAGATGCCCATATATCATGCATTGGTGGACAATGATGATTAGGTTAAACTGTAACCAGGCACATACTAATGAAAAAAAGGAGGGGATTTGGGAATCCATCCATTGCTTTGTGGAAGGGGTGCAGGGGAAAGACTGCAGCACTTGCAGACAGTGGACCGGCAACATCATCTGGTGGCCTCTGTGTAGTGTGTGAGTAGACAGGCTCCCAAGTGGAGCAGACATCAGGCTTTTGGCCACCCATTGGTGGACTGGAAAAAGTCCAACCAGGAAGCTGTTCTCTTTCTTCCACACCTGTTGATAGCCATGGATGATTCTGTAGAGACACTCAGTTGGGTTGCATGAGGGCCATGGAGAAATAAAAGTTTCCCTTACAGAAAGGCGGCATTTAATCTGAAAAGAGGGCCTCATTGGTTCAAATGAATTTTGAAGGATCTAAATAAAATCTTGTGGGTTGTTGTTGATTTCTAGGAGTGCAATGCATATGCAAATTTTCTTAAGTACTTCCTCTGTTCCTAAATGTAAGTCTTTTTAGAGATTGCAATAAGTACCTACATACGGATGAATATAGACGTACTTTAGAGTGTAGATTCACTCATTTTGCTCCGTATGTAGTCTCTTATTAGAATCTCTAAAAAGATTTATATTTAGGAACGGAGGGAGTATTAATTTGCACTTTATTTTACAGGATTCCTTTTCCAATGACTGAAACCACCTAGGGAGATCAAACATCCTTTGTCTTGTAGGATTCAAGATGGCGCTGTCGCCGCCTACCAGTGACCACTGGCGCCGGTGATGGGCGTTTGTCAGCGAGGCCGGTGGTGACCCGGTGACCAGCAAAAACTAACGACCACCACATAAGGCCGTAGCATCAGTGCATCAGGCAAGGGACACATTAAGTAATAACAGCACACATCAGTATAAATAGAAGCGCATTCACCAACAAGAGCAAGATAAAAATCTGAAACCGTTTCTTTCTGGCACCAACAGCCAGCGGTTTTCGTTCAGATATTGCAACGGCTAAAATGGAACATGTGAAATCTGCACATCTGATCGGTGGAAGAAGCCGATCGTCATCAATACATGGATAAACTTTCCCATGAATAGACACACACAGTCGTACTTATATATAACAGCTGAATTTTAGTATTTCAGAAACATATTACGGCTTCACCAATTCATCGTTCGATTATACAGCCACACAACTCAAGGTCACACCTAGCAAGCAGAATAAAATTCACAGGTGATTTGACCTAGGAACACCTCCAACGTAGCCAGCCGCCGCCTCCACAAAACTAGGGTTCTTTGCCTCCCACCGGCGCCGACGCCGGTCCGTCCCGTCTCCGATGGCCTTAAGGCCATGGAGGCAGAGTGGATCTCGGCCGTTGCCGGTGGGAGGGCTCCGCTTTCATATCTTTTTTTGAGCTTTGTTAGGGTTTGTTCCTGCTCAGGAAGGCGAGACGACGGCGGCTCTCTGAAGATGGAATAAAGGTCACCCCGTCTAGTCCCCGTTCCGGTGATGTGTGTAGCATCATCGGTGGGCGTGTGGAGGTTTGTCTCCGGCGGATCTGTCTTTGGTGGATTTGCTCGGATCTGTTCGTCGTTCGTCTTCGTTCGTGTGTCTTCAGGTTGGATCTTTTTGATCTACACTCTTCATTTGCAGCGGTTGCTGTTCTGGTGCGTTGGTTCCATGGGGCCTTAGCACGACGACTTCCCGACTGTCTACTACAACAATGTTTGCCTGGCTCTGTCGAGGGAGGGGGCGGTGACAGCGACGCGCCTTCGGCTCGCTTCAGTGCTTGTAGTCGTCGTTAGGTGGTCTACGGTTCTGAATGTAATTTTTATTATTTCTAGTGTCCGTTGTACTACCATGATTGAAGATGAATAGATTGAAAGTTTTTCCGCAAAAAAAAAAAGATTTGACCTAGGAACAGCGAATACAACAGCTCGTAAAAAATATGTTCTTTTCAGAAATACGGTAAACGGTGGAAGCACATTCTTGTGACGACGAAGCACGTAGATGTACCTGCGCATATAGAGAATAGAGGCCCCCGCTTTCCATATTTCTTAGCGAAGAGTTCATAGTTACACATGATGGCATGGAGCGAGTGGGGTGCCAAGACGCCGCTGCAGGATAGCAACTTGGTCAGTCCAGCTTGACACAGAAATCCTGTTGGCAACAATCAAACACACCAGGATTAAGAGCATGTTTGAATATATATATTTTTTGCATGAACTTCACATGAAAATCTTTGATTCATGTAGAAATGTGGAAAGAGTTTCACATTTCATGGATGACACAAAATAAAACTTGCAGAGAAATTATTAAATATCAAGGAGAAAGCGATGGTGTTAGGGTTATTAGTTGCCGCCACATTGGGTGGTTCTTACCAGCATTTGGACTTCAAGTGCTAGAGCTCACAACCTCCTCGTCCTCTTTTTTCAAGTCATCAAAAGTGAAATTCATGTTCTCATCACACTTGATGTTAGCTGTAGGACAACTCGGGTGCATGCCAATGGCATCTCTCAACACGGACTGCGCAGCTCTTGCACTTGATTCCTCGGCAGCATATCCCCCAATGCGCACCGAGACTTCCTTGAGGCCTGACAAGTGCTCGACGCCGCCAAAAGCAGCACCGTGCTGCCCCCATCCGCGCGCGTTGAATCCGACCTCGAGCCTCTGGAGCTTGGGCATTGCCCCTGCCTCGAACGCCAGCTATGATATCCAACGGCAGGTGAATTCGAAAATGCTTGAGAGCAAGGAATCCTGTTCCGCGGATGGTGACCCTCTCTTTAGGAGTTGCAAAGATGTACACATTCAGGTTGACGAGGGAGTGCAGCTGTGCAATGATTCCAACATCATCATCCAACACCTCCTTAACCCCCAGTGCAAGGTCATAGAGATTATGGAGCTCCCGAATCCACTTGGGAACCCTCGATAACATGCAACCCCGTCCTGCGAAGAAGTCGGGGAGAAGTGGATAGTGAACCCAAGGCATCCGAGCATGCGCTGGGGAGGTAAGATTCCATGCACAGGTTCTGAGGTTGCAAAGTTTTTCTAGGGAGGATCTCAGAATATTCATGAGTTTTGTTGCTTCTGCCTCATCCAATTGCTTCCGGTAGACACGACATATCTCAAGGTCCTTCAGATTGGTCAGATCTCCGAGGTCTCTGATGTTGTCTACTGAGTTCATGCCCAAGTCGAAGCCTTGCAGTGTCCGTAGGGATTTCATGCTGCCTATCCTAGAGGGTAAACTTATCCCAACAGGAAGGATCAGGTGCAATAACCGGCGCAGATGAACAATATCTGATGGAACTTGAACCATGCTATATTCGTAAGTTCTTAATTCAAGTGTCTCTAATTGATCTAGTGTCCGAATTTTCCTTGGTAGCACTATTTCACCGTAAGCTGCTACAACTTTTAGGTACCTCAACTGGAACAAATGACACATTCCTGTGAGGTCAAGCGTCACAAGCCTAGTTGGAAATTCAAGAGTTAAAACTCGGAGATGCTTGAACTCCGATAGAGGCGGCGTATATGTGGAGATACCAAATCTTGCTAGCGCTCTTACTTGTGAGAGCTGGGTTGTTCCCAATGTAGTGCCATCTATCACACCATCCAAGCAGAGGGAGAGTCGATGGACATTGCCTTGCAGTCCAATCACGGCTTGTAAGTCGTCTATTGCAGTGATAAAATTCTCTTCTCTACACTTGTGCATAATAAGATCAAGCATCATATCATGCACTTTGCAAGCCAACACCTCGTCATTATGATCTGTATCTACTGGTTGAACAATGCCTCTGTTGACAAGTTCACTGAAACAGCCCTCTGCAACAGCCTCTGGATCCCGCACGTGTGATGTACTTATAAAACCTTGGGCTAACCATTGCCTGACCAAATCATTCTTGTTGATTGTATAATCCTTTGGATATATACCCAAATATAGCATGCATGTCTTCAAATAATGAGGAAGATTTGTGTAACTAAGGTTTAGTATTTTTCTCATTCCGTCCAAGGTGGGATGCACTTCCAAGTTGGAGCCCAAAGAATGCAATATGTCCTCCCATTGCCCCTTCAGCATCTTTGGTTGACTGGCTAAAAGGCTGGATATGCTGATAATTGCGAGTGGCAAGCCGCCACATCTTTTTAAAATTTCAGCCGAAACTTCTTCCAAATACCTAGGACAACCATCCTCTGAACCAAAAACTCTTTTGAAAAACAACTTTCTTGACTCTTCATTGCTAAGTAACTTCATCTTATAAAGATAGTCATAGCTATTGGAGCAGCACGCTGTAGCCACATTCTCGATCCGTGTTGTTGTTATTACTCTGCTGCCGTTCATGTTTTCTGGCAGAGCGCATCTAACAATACTCCACGTGGTTGCATCCCATATGTCATCATTCACAATAAAGTACCTGCCAAGAAGGTTAAATTTTATGGAGCATAATAAGCACCCTCACTTTCTTCGAGTGAACTTCAAAAGGCGAAAACACACCCAAGAAAACCTCTACCTTTAAGTTTTTCAAAAGTGCATATACTTGATGATCCTTGTAAGAGTACACATGGTAGTTCAGCCTTGGTGCCAAAATGGCCCATTTGGTTTTAGAATTGAATAAATGGTAGCTGAAGTTGCCTTGTTTTTCCGCGAATCAATGAGTAAATGCTTTAAAACAGAACCTTATGCACGTGTTGCATCTTTATTTTACAAAAAAAGAAAAAAACTTAAGCAAACATTTGTAAGAGTTGAGCTGTTCATTTGGGGAATTCTACTCCGAGAATATATGAAAATCAATTGTAAGATTTCTGAATTGCAAACTAGTGTCAATCTAGTTTGTCATGTTTTTCAGTGACAACAAAATATTTCAAATATGGAACTAATTACATGGTTATAGAGGTTTCATCAAACTTAATGGCTTCACTAATTTCACTAATAAAATGCCCATCCAGAGTGTCTAAGATGCAAGTTTCTTAACCATAGCCACAAGAATTTCTACAACAGCATACCAACAAGCTAAATGAATATCTTCCCACAAAATAAATCAAGCACTATATATAGATTACTTCGGAGTAAAGTCATTTCCAAAATGGAGTACCTCTTCTCTGCAAGAAATCTTCGAAGTGTCCTGATCAGCTGATCCTCATCCCATGATTCCACATTAGTTTGATCCAGAGCCACATAACCAGCTTGAGAGAGTATGTTTCTAAGAATCTTCCTTATGTTAGGTTTTTGGGACACAAAAACAAAAGCTCGGCACTGGAACTGCCCCTCCAGTTTGCGATAAATCTGATTTGCAAGTGTAGTCTTACCAAGGCCTCCAAACCCCACAACAGAGAGCACCTTCAGCTGCTGAGCACAAACGCCGTCTGTGGCAAGTGTAGTCTTACCAAGATCTCCATCCAGCATCACCTTAATCAGTTCGTCCCTCAGTTCATTGATGCCCACGAGGTCCGCCGTGCCCGCAAAGAGCGCCAACAGGCGTATGTCTATGGCTGTGTTGTTTGGCTTTGAGACTGTGCTGTCAACCTTGTACCTCATGCGCCTCTCGCTCACCTCCATGACACGTCTCTTGAGACCTTGCAACTCCTTGCCGATCTTATGCCGAGTGTTGACTGTCGTAAGCAAGTTCATGCTCCTTCGGACTCGCATTCCACTCGGAGCATGAAGTCGTCGACATTGTCCTCAATGTCGTAAGACAGATCACGGACCTCCTCTGCCCAGCATTTTGCTTGTTTATCAGCCTCCTCTTCCGCTGTTCCGCATCAGACATTCTCTCTAGGAACTTGCGCATGCTCTCGAGCTCGGCTTTAAGGAACACGATCTCGCCCTTTGCTTCTTTGAGCAGCTTGTACTTGCCGGCGAGCAAATCGCCAAGCTTCCCAAGCAGGCAGCCTATGGCTCCGTGTGACACGCTCACGGCTCACCACCGCTGCTGCCATGACCTTTCCTTTGTTAGCGTTTACTCCAGTCGTGTAACAGCTCAAGCACTTGGAGATGAAGCAATCAAGCTGGGAGGCATGTAGTAGCAGAAAAGATCCACTCAATTTCTTTGTTCTTTCTCCTTTTTTCACTTATTTCTTCATGGAATTGAAAAAAAGTTCACAGGTTTTGGAAAAAGATCACAAATTTGAAAAAAGTTCACGCATTTAAAAAATCAAAAGGGAAAAGAAAAAAAAGAAAATGGAAATAGGAAAGGAAAAAACTGAATAAAATTGGTCCGACAAAATGACAAATATCTCAAAAGCTTCACAAAACCAGTTGGTGTAAAAAGCCAAAATGGGTCGAGCTATTCCATACGAAGGGGTGTGCATCAGTTGCAATTAAGCCTATAAGCGAAATCACTAGTTAAGGAGTACTCCTTGCGGAGATCACTCCAACTTCCCCAGGCTGCGACAAGTGGCGCGCTCACCACTTGTCGCAACCTGAGAGTTTTCCCTTTTTTCGTAGATCCGTTTATTCAAAACATTTTATCTCTTAAATCATGTGTCCAAACTTGAACCGTTTTTGCTGTTGGATTCCTCGCGTCGAGATCTTCAAAACTAGATCTCATGTTGATAGGTTTTGACGAACTTTTTTTCATGAAAAAAAAACGGACGAAAAAACCAAACCGGGAGCACGGTTTTTTCCATTTCCGAAAGAGGCATGACCGTGACTCTCGCGAAAGCAAAACCGTGCCGCTTGCGAAAGAAAAAAAAAAGAAAAAAACTCGTTTTTTCCCTTTCCGAAAGAGGCACGGTCGTGACTCTCGCGAAAGCACAACCGTGCCTCTCGCGGAAGCAAAACCGTGCCTCTTGCGAATAAAAAACAGAAAACGCGTTTATTCCCTTTTTGAAAGAGGCACGGCCGTGACTCTCGCGAAAGCACAACCGTGCCTCTCGCGAAAGCACAACCGTACCTCTCGCGAAAAATAAAAATAAAAAACGCGTATTTTTTTCCTTTTTGAAAGAGGCACGGCCGTGACTCTTACGAAAGCACAACCGTGTCTCTCGCAAAAGCAAAACCGTGCCTCTCCCGGAAGAGAAAAAAAACAGAAAACGTGTTTTTTTTCCTTTCCGAAAGGCAGGACCATGACTCTCCCGAAAGCACAACCGTGCCTCTCGCGGAAACAAAACCGTGCCTCTCACGAAAGGAAAAAAACAGAAAACGCGTTTTTTTCCGTTTCCAAGAGGCACGACCATGCCTCTCGCGAAAACAAAACTGTGACACTCGCGAAAAAAAAAGTTTTTTTGCACAAAAAACAAAAAAATCAATTTTTTTTGTCGAAAAGCTAGGGAAGACCGGTGAAAAACCAAAGCGTAAAAAAAATCTGAAAAAAACCATTTAAAAAGCCGAAAATGTGTGCGAAAAATTAAAAAAACAAAATCCGGAGTTAGCCCCAGAACGCGACACGTGGCGAATGGCTGAGAGCACGCCAAGTGGCGCTGATCATTGCGAGGCTCCCGAAGAAGCGCTCGTTAATTAGCACAGGGGACGTCAAATAGAATTGGTCCAATTACAGGCTTAATCATTTTTGAGGCACACCCTCTCGCCCCACATCCTTCGTAACGGCGAAATCACTAATTAAGGAGTACTCGTTTCAAAGAACACTCCACTTTCTCAGGTCACGACAAATGGCGCACATGCAGCGCACAACCTGGGAGTTTTCCTTTTTTTCGTAGATCCATTTATTCAAAATGTTTTATCTCCCAAACCGTGTGTCCAAATCTCAAACCGTTTTTACCATTGGATTCTTCGCGTCGAGATCTTCAAAATTAGATCCCATGTTGATAGGTTTTGACGAACTTTTTTTCATGAAAAAAACCGGACAAAAAAATCAAACCGGAAGTACGGTTTTTTCCCTTTCCGAAAGAGGCACGCCCGTGCCTCTCGCGAAATCACAACCGTGCTTCTCGTGGAAGCAAAACTGTGACTCTCGTGGAATACAAAAAAATAGAAAACACGTACTTTTTTCCGTCTTCGAGAGGCACGGGCGTGACTCTCGCGAAAGCACAACCGTGTCTCTCGCGAAAGCAAAACCGTGACTCTCGCGAAAGAAAAATAAACATAAAACGCGCATTTTTTCCCTTTCCGAGAGGCACGGCCGTAACTCTCGCGAAAGCACAGCCGTGCCTCTTGCGGAATCAAAACCGTGACTCTCGCGAAAGAAAAAAAAACGTGTTTTGTTTTTCCCTTTCCGAGAGGCGCAGCCGTGACTCTCGCGAAAGCACAACTGTGCCTCTCGCGGAAGCAAAACCGTGACTCTCGTGAAAGAAAAAAAAATAGAAAACACGTTTTATTTTTCCCTTTCCGAGAGGCACGGCCGTGACTCTCGCGAAAGCACAACCGTGCCTCTCGCGGAAGCAAAACCGTGACTCTCGGGAAATAAAAAAAACAAAAAACGTGTTTTTTTCGCGCAATTTTTTTTTATTTTTTTATCGAAAAGCTAAGAAAGACCGGTGGAAAACCAAAACGATGAAAACCCCCCGGAAAAAACCGTTTAAAAAGCTGAAAACGCATGCGTATAAATAAAAAAAATAAAATCCGGAGGGAGCGTCTAGAGCGCGACACGTGGCGAATGACTGAGAGCGTGCCAAGTGGCGCTAATTTTTGTGAGGCCCCCGAAGGAGCGCTCGTTAATTAGCACAGTGGACGTCAAATAGAATTGGTCCAATTACAGGCTTAATCATTTTTGAGGCACACCCTCTCGCCCCACATCCTTCGTAACGGCGAAATCACTAATTAAGGAGTACTCATTTCAAAGAACACTCCACTTTCTCAGATCACGACAAATGGCGCACATGCAGCGTGCCACCTGTCGCAATCTGGGAGTTTTTCCTTTTTTCGTAGATCCATTTATTCAGAATGTTTTATCTCCCAAACCGTGTGTCCAAATCTCAAACCGTTTTTACCATTGGATTCCTCGCGTCGCGATCTTCAAAACTAGATCTCATGTTGATAGGTTTTGATGAACTTTTTTTTCATGAAAAAAACCGGACAAAAAAATCAAACCGGGAGTACGGTTTTTTCCCTTTTCGAAAGAGGCACGCCCGTGCCTCTCGCGAAATCACAACCGTGCCTCTCGTGGAAGCAACCGTGACTCTCGTGGAATACAAAAAAATAGAAAACACGTATTTTTCCCGTTTTCGAAAGGCACGGCCGTGACTCTCGTGAAAGCACAACCGTGTCTCTCGCGAAAGCAAAACCGTGACTCTCGCGAAAGAAAAATAAACAGAAAACGCGTATTTTTTCCCTTTTTGAGAGGCACGGCCGTGACTCTCGCGAAAGCACAACCATGCCTCTCGCGGAAGCAAAACCGTGACTCTCGCGAAAGAAAAAAAATAGAAAACGTGTTTTGTTTTTCCCTTTCCGAGAGGCGCAGCCGTGGCTCTCGCGAAAGCACAACTGTGCCTCTCGCGGAAGCAAAACCGTGACTCTCGTGTAAGAAAAAAAAACAGAAAACACGTTTTGTTTTTCCCTTTCCGAGAGGCACGGCCGTGACTCTCGCGAAAGCACAACCGTGCCTCTCGCGGAAGCAAAACCGTGACTCTCGGGAAATAAAAAAAAACAGAAAACGTGTTTTTTTCGTGCAAATTTTTTTTTATTTTTTTTGTCGAAAAGCTAAGAAAGACCGGTGGAAAACCAAAAGGTTGAAAAAACCCCGGAAAAAACCGTTTAAAAAGCTGAAAACGCGTGCGTAAAAATAAAAAAAGAACAAAATCCGGAGGGAGCGTCCAGAGCGTGACACGTGGCGAATGACTGAGAGCGCGTCAAGTGGCGCTGATTGTTGTGAAGCCCCCGAAGGAGCGCTCGTTAACTAGTTGCTCCCTCGTAACGGACACGCCCATTTAAGAGTAATTTGAGGTTCAATTTTCAGAACTCCTCCTGGTTTAGGGAAGCTCTTCCCTGTCGGTTTTTCTTTTATGTGTCTTCCCTGTCGTCCTTTTGTTCTATTTTCCCCTTTTCTTTTTCTTTTTTTAATTTGTGACCTTTTCCAAATTTGGAAATTTTTTTGTTCAAACTCGTGATTTCCCCCCCCCCCCTCCCAAATTTATGAACTTTTTATTTTAAAATTCATGAAATTTCTTAAAATTCACAAACTTTTTCCGAATTTGGTAACTATTTTGCATTCACAAACTTTTTTTTCAACTTCTTATTTTTTGTATTCTTAAACTTTTTTTCAAGTCGTTAACTTTGTGTATTTGCAATTTCTTTTAAAATTTAAAAATATCAATGTCAAACAGTGATTGGTCAAGGGTCAAAGGTCAACAGACGACCGAGCTAAGCAAGTGGTTGTGCTTAATGGGCCAGACCCAACCAAACTTGGGCTGGAGAGCCAGCTGGCAAAGTGGCGCATAAGGCGTTAATTGGGAGGTCTCGGATTAAAGATGGCGTCACAATTGTTGCATGGGGCTGAGATTGCTTTTGGGTAGGAATTCCACGCATGAGCTATATCTCGCATTAAGCAAGATGGAATGATCTCTAGCGCACACGCATCTACAGTAACAGGCCAGCCCATTAACTCTCGCTTATAAAAGAAAGAGAACATAAAGGGAACGAAAAAGAAAGAGAACATAAAGGGAACATAAAGGCCAGCCCATTAACTCTAGCCTGAGAACTTCAGAAAATCTGCCTACCTAGGCTAGCATATGAATGCTCTGTTTGGTTCGTGA